AAAAAAAAAAAAAAAAAAAACTAAAATTTCAAATTAATCCGAACAAAAGAATTATTTTCGCTAAATCTATCAGCGTGAAATTCACGATTTTACTGCTGGGGCGCAGCAAGCCAAGAATATACCTACGGTTGGATACAAGCTACATTATATCAACCTAATCCACCCTTCAATCCTCTAATTCATTTCAATACAATTCCTATCAGCTGTTATCTTCACGGCTTACGCGAACTTCACAGACGGTTCCAAACAAAATGTAGTGAATTTCAGAAAAATAAGCTATCGCACTATGAACTGTAAACATCAAAGTATGTACGCTTTTCATGCTTCTATAAATCAGAGTTTTCGAAATAATAGCTGCTCTTCAAGCTTCATTTTATTAGAAAGGTATTTTGAAATAGGAAAAAGAAAGGAAGAGAAAAAAGAGAAAAATATTAAGGAATTATTTTAATAAAATTATTATAATGGTAAGAAATGTTTCGGCCATTAAGTATATCTTATATCCGAGTTGCGACGAATTTCTGCCACAAGCGCATGGGCTACAGGGGAGAGGGTGAGCGGGACATAAGTCAAACCTCCTCATTCTGGAAACTGGACCTGCATTTGACTGTATACCGTCTTTCCTACTTCCGAAGCTTTACGGCTCGCAAAAGAACTTCTACACAGTGGAAAAGTCTTGCATTCTTGCTCCTGCTCTTCATGTACTTCAAAAGCACACTTTTCCAAGCTCTGCTTCACCAAGGGGATTTAGAAAAAGTGCTAATTTGGCTGAAAATTTCGCCAATGAGTGTCCAGAACTTGCATAACATCAAAATTGGAGACAACGCACAGTTCAGAGCAAATAAACGCGTAGCATACCTCACGTTAGGGCCGGTGAAAGTTGCCTTAACATCCGTTGAAGAACGCTTCCACAGATCCACTGGATTCGCGACACTCATTACCACCTGTGTAAATCCAATTCAAAACTGTGAGAACTGTTCCAGGACCGATTCGCCGGACGACCGTGGTAACAGGAGCCGCAACACCAACCGTCGTCCTACAAAAATCATGCAAAACGTGAAACACTCTGCATTATTACTGTACAGCTGGACATACAGTTCAACGGTGTTTACCTCTCCTCTATGCATCTCTTTGAAGTTAAGAGATTTATCTTATTTTTAAACCTCTATATCTCTCCTTTAGTCGCTCGTCTAGATCATTCCCCACACCTTCCCTGCCCTATTTTTTTTTCGTTTTTCTTTAAATTTATTTAACTTATATTTTACTTCATATTAACAATGTTTTAATATAAGAAAAACATTTTATAAAATATATATACTTACTATTAGCATTCATCACATTATTAAGTCTTAATATCTACTAATTCTAATTACCACAACTGTCGTACTGACGAGGTCCAATTGTGGTAATGGCAAGAAAAGTATACGACTTAGGGGACCGAAACATTTCTTACCATTAAAATAATTTCTTACCATTACAATAATTTTATTAATTTACAGATTTTGTAATTCTCATCTCTTACCTTCCTTTCTGCCCATCTCTTTTCATCTGTTTTTAA